CGTTGTCTGCTTAAACATGTGCGGGGAAGGGGACCATGGAACTTATGAAAAGCAGGGAGTTAAATGCTCTCCCTCAATTAAAAGCCTCATGCGTGGAGTCTGACCGTGTTCAGAATGAGAGGCTGTCTTCACACACTGGAGAGGGGTAGGGGAAAAGGGCGAACAGGTCCCGATGCCCTGCTCCTCTTAGGTAACACCAAGACGGGGCACTGATGAGCTTTTTCAGGAAGAAAACAAAGGAGAGGAGGAAGCTAGCAAACTAAACTATCTCTGGAACAACTGATATCTCTTCTGTAGAATATAAGTCTGGCAACAAAAGGAGGGTTGGGTAGTAGTAGAGGTAAAGACTGGAGATAGGGAATCCAATCAATTTATTGGGGCAATATTCTAGGTTTAAAAAAAGATGTGGGGGCCTCCCCAGTGGCGCAGCGGTTGAGCGCTGGGTTGCGAAGCTGCCTGCGGCCTCTGCGGCGCCGGTTCGATCCCCGGCTGCTCCCCGGCCACCAGAGGAGGGTCCCACATGGCGCGCAGACCTCTCCTGCCGCCCGCTGCTCCCCTCAGCAGTGTACTTCAGTCCTTCTGCCTGCTCTGCTCCCCGCTCTGGCTCTGGTGAATTCTTTCACCCTCCCACGCTTCTGACTGTACCCAGTGCATGTATAAACAAACAAACAAACAAACAAACAAACAAATAAATAATAAATAAAACATGCCTCTACAAAAATAAATAAATAAATAAATAAAAAATAAAAAAAGATGTGGGCTTGAATTAGAGAATAGACATGGATGTTAATGATGATATCAATTGGTTTGGACACTGATTAGTGATAAAAGTGAAGGGAAACAGGAATTGGCTATTCACAGGGTTTAACTGCTGTGCCTGATGCATTCTGAATACTATTCAAGAAATTGGAGTATATAGGAGAAACAGATTTGGATAAAGAAAATGAGTTTACCTTCAAACACGAAGAGTTTCAGATGTACTTGGACTGAGATATTTGGAGGTAGATGAATATACAGTCCTGAAGCATCCTAGGAGAGGTAAGGACTTAAAGCTTTATCCATCTCCTGGTCTGAGGGATTATTTAGAAAACAGAAGCATTTTATTTTGAGTTAATGTTTTTCAGTTGCTGGTGTTTTCCCTTGCCACTTAAGGTCCTTTAAATCTTAACAATAAAAAGGATCCCTGTTGTCTACCCTTGCAGAGTGCATGTCTGAGCCAATCAATAAAAAGAAAAGACTTAATGGCATGTGATTTGTTCACTTTATGTTTCCCAAATATCCTAGCTGTAACAACAGTGCTCAGTACATGAGAATAGCTGACTCATATTTCCTAAAAGTCAGCTCAGCTATCCATCCCTCCAAATTATCTGAACCTTTGGTCACTCCCAAAGAGACTCAACATGAACAATTTATGAGCATCTCTTTCATTTGTTGAGAACAATTCTAATACATCTGTTAGGAAGGTTAAGACTAAAAAATAAGCTTTTCCTGCCTTATATCATGCCCACCCTCATATCCTAAATAATGTCCTCACCTTTCACAGAAAGTGTAGGTTCCCTCAGGATGGCTTCACAGTGATTTGTCACTTTCAAATGCCCACAATCAGAATTACTTGACTACCCTGGGTCCCACAGTAACGAGTTTATTTATCTAGTGTAGGACTTCTCATATTTTGATTTTCATTAAAGTTGCATGCCTAGGGACACACCTTTCGCCTCTAATGTGTGCTTACCTACCTTTGTTTCCCTTTTGTACTCAGCACAGTGCTCTGGGTATAAATGTTGACTGATGTTTGAATTTGTTCAATATTTTTTTTTAAATATATCTTATCAGGGGGCATATTTGACTGTGGACAATAACAGTTAAAGAGACACATTATATAAAAATAACTTTCTTATGCAAATCATTTAAAAGCTAAAAGTTGAATTTAGGGCATCTCTGGAGGCACAAGGGGTTAAGTCGCAGTAGCAGCACTATGAAGCTATCCACAGCCACTGCAGCACGAGTTCGATAACCAGCCAGGAAGGTGACCCACATGGCACAGCAGACCTCTTCTATCTTGCCCACTGTTTTCCTTAGCAGTGTATGTCAGTCAATCCACCTGTGCTGTTCCCCACGCTGTCTCAGGTGAATCCTCTCAGCCCCAGCACCTCTAGCCTGTACCCCAGTTCTTGTATGCATAAATAAATAAATCTTTTTTAAAAAAATGAATTTAGAAGGAACTGTTGAGAGATGTAAAAGCATTAACTTGAGGAGGATGGTGGAAGGTAATACTTTCCAAATTTGTGAAAAAGTCCTGCGTCAAAGATCTGACTCCTCCACTAGCCACCAAGAAGGAAGGGTAGAGACAGCAGTGGCTCAGACTGCTACTGCCCTCCTGTCCGTGGACACTCCTCTCTCAATCAGTAAGTTCAGAATTTGTCATTTGTAAATGACATTTTTTACTATTATTCTTGCCTCTCAAAGTATTTCCTCAGCTTTGTGTTTTTAAGAAATGCACATATCCTCTGACAACATTAATAAATTTCAGTTTGTGAATCATATACACAAGAATGTCATTCTAACATTGTTTCACAACGAACAGAATTTGGCAATGTGTGTTCTTTGGGACAGAACTAGAGTTTCATAAAGCCCAGATGGAAGGCTTTCTCACCCATAAGGAAGCCTGTAGCATAGATCTGAATAATCACCTTATACAAAACTCCAGGTTTTCATTTAAAGACATGAAAAACTTCTGGAATAGCAAGAAGGTGAATAGCTTTAACAGGTGGAGAGGATTAGGCTATACAACAGATTGAGTTTCCGTGCTTAAACTGTTCCTGGTTTCATAGTTTTTCTTCATGCATCATTCAAACCACAGCATTTAAAGTAACTTCTAAGAAACAGCCAGATAGAGTTCCAGGTGTAAAAGATGATGTAATTTCAGAACTGGCATGGGGCCCAAATTTCTAAGCCACGTTTTTCTATCTAGCCCCTCCCTCTTTGCATTGTTAGACTCCTGTGCCCAAATCACAATAAGGGTTTAAGTTTGCTGACAAATAGTGACATATGCCTGGAATTTTGTGAGAGAACTCATGGCTGTGAAGGGCAACAGGTACTTAAAGGTGTTTTCTTAGCATGCGAATATTGTTTACTGTTTTTGATTTTTAATATGCTCTTTCAGAAGCTTGGTTTTTAAAAAATACCCTTCAAACCATTTCAACTTGTGAAACTTTTTAGAATCCCATTCTATAAAGCATGATTACAACTACAAGTCTACAATATTTCAATTGGTGCTCTGTAATATCAATAAAATTGTGTGTGTGAATTAAAAGAGTGCTTTTTAAAATTTCATTTTGCTAGTCAACGGGTTTGACTAGGCTACTCCTTGAAGAGGAAATGAGCTGAGAGGTTTGCCAGCCATAAAAAAAATCAATGAAAGACTAAATCTGGATCCAACAGGGAAATAGTGGGAGATTCTCAATTGGACTTTTACCTTTTTTTTTTAAATTAGCTTTATGGAGATTTAGTAGATATACAGGGGACTACAAATATATAAAGCAAACAACTTGATAAGTAAAATACACTTATACCCCTATGAAACCATCACCACAAGCAAGAGATAGAGGACATGCCCATCATCCCTAAAACTCTTCTGTGCTTCTTCATAGTATATTCCCTCCCTTGCAACCACTGACTGGCCTATAGCCATGCCGTCAAGCTGGAGATCAAAACACTGTGGGTGACATGGTCATATGTGAGGAAGACTACAGCCTGACAGAAGAGATTTAGCCTTTTGTTTAATGGAATTAAGAATTGTATCTAGGATGTGCTTTAAAAACTTATTTCCTTCTCTCTTGTCCTTTCCAGTGCACTCTTTACAGATAAGTGATTTTTAAAATTAAACTTACCCAGATTTGGAATCATTTACTTTTACATAAAAAATAAGGTATGCAGGTAGAGTCACACATAGAAGGAGGGGCAGGCTGTCTGGGCCACTTTGGAGCATACATTTACAATACTATCAAGCATATTTTTGGTCACATAACAGTTTTTTAGTGCTGAAAGTTAATTGATCCTGTATTATCAATAGTATTCCTCATTAGCATTATGTGTTAGATATCTAAGCTAAAAACACACTAATCCTTATTTTGCAGGTGGTGGTTTTTAAACTCATATAGTCTGTTCTGGTCTACTGAAGTCTTCAATAGGAGCAAAGAATCCTACGGATGACCTAGGTCATTTGCCATATTTTGGGAAGGAAAGGTATCTCACCAGATACCTTTAAAAATACATGTCTTAGAAGGGCCTCCCTGGTGGCACAGGTGGTTGAGCGCAGCACTGTGAAGCTCACAGTAGGCTCTTCAGCGGCCGGTTCAATGGTGTGGCAGACCTCTCCTATTTTGCCCGCTGCTCCCCTCAGCAGTGTATTTCAGTCAGCCTGCCTGTTCTGTTTCCAGCTCTGTCTCTGGTGAATCCTTTCACCCTCCTGCACATCTGGCCTGTACCCCAGTTCTTGAAATAAATAAATAAATCTTAAAAAAAAATAAAAATATATGTCTTAGAAAGTAGAATAGATATTATTTATGGGATATAGATTTTCAGTCTGGGGTGATGAGAAGTTCTGGAAATGAATAATGGTCATGGTTTCACAACACTCAGTGAATTTCATTATAAAATGCAGAGTTATGCAGGTAAAAATACATTTGGAACTACAGCATCAACAAACTACATATTTGTGATAGTCCATATTCTTGTGGACTATTTGGGCAACGTGCAAAATGACTAAGAATGATTGATTTGATTACTACCTGGAAATAATACCTCTTCCACGCTCCAAAAAACAAATAAATGAACTTATCAAAAGCATTGAGGGCCTCCTTGGTGGTGCAGCGGTTGAGTGCTGGGTCGCAAAGCTGCCCGCAGCCTCTGCAGCGCCGGTTCGATCCCCGGCTGCTCCCCGGCCACCAGAGGAGGGCTCCGCATGGCGCGCAGACCTCTCCTGCCGCCCGCTGCTCCCCTCAGCAGTGTACTTCGGTCCTTCTGCCTGCTCTGCTCCCTGCTCTGGCTCTGGCGAATTCTCTCACCCTCCTGCACTTCTGACTGTATCCAGTGATTGTATAAATAAATAAATCTTTAAAAAAAAAAAAGCATTGATTAGGCAACTGTACTCGACACTAACATGACATACAAAACACTTCGTAACAAATTTAACCATTTTCAGTGATTTTTCTGTACACAATCTTGTGTGATGCCCATATATTTTTTAACAATAAGGAAACTGAAGAGTAGAATATATAATTTGACGGATTTAGTGTCAAAGGGGTTCAATCCCAGGGTGGTCGGTGAGGGCCAATCGAGGGCCATGACTGGCCTGAGGGGCCGAGGCAGGGCAGGGTTGAGGATAGCGTAGTCCTAGCGCTGACTCAAATCAAGTTCTTTGGTTCATATAATGCCTGAAATATTTAGAGGAGTGTGGCAAATATTACTGTTCTAACTCTCTTGCTCTCACAGTCATGCCCTACCTAAAAATTTTCAATAGCTTCCAGTTCTTTTTTCAATGAAATCCAATCTTGTTTCTATGTTATCCTAGGTCCTGGAGTACTGGCCCTCACTCACCTCTCCACTCTCATTCCAGGCTCCAGCATGTACCATGTATTCCCCAGCACCAGGGAGTCCATTCAGTTCCAACTTTCAAGCTCCTTTCTACCACAGGTCCTTTGCACAAATATTGCCTCTACCTTAAACAATTCCTCAGGGCCTTTTCTCTCATTACTATCTCCTTAGATAGGACTTCCCTGACTACTCTTTTTAAAAATCCTTCCTGTTATCTGCTATCCTAGAATTCTGTTCATAACATTTACAGAATATCTTCTCCCAAAATGTGATGAGGTATTTATTATCCCTCTTGGCCCTCAGCTAGGCTGTCAACTCCAAAAATGTAGACTTTTTCTGTTTCCCTCACCAGTGTTCCCTCCGCCTTTCAGTTTCAAGGCATGCTTGTTGACTGACTGGCTGAATACAATGAAAGAAGTGGAGACAGTAAATAGAGCTGTAAACTCGATTAGTAAAAGAGATTAATGTCTAGTCTGTGAAATTTAGGAATTTGAAACCAGAGGGATTTTTAGGGTCCTATTTTTTTCCTTCATTTTCCCATGTAATATCTAACATCTATTAAGTACTTTCAAGACTATGCTAAATACTTCCACAGGTATTACAGAATTTAACTCTCAGAGCAACCCTGTAGGGCTAATCATTCTCACTTTTCAGAGGCAACTTGCCAAGAGTCATTAACGGTAGAGCCACCGTCACTTTTAAGTAGGCCATATCCTAGTAATCCAATGTAATCTATTCAGTCAACAATATGTATTTTATCAACGTACTTTTAGGGGAAACCCCCTGAATCCCCCACTTTACCTCAGTATCTTTTACCATAACCTACTAGGCGGTTGCTAAACCCTCGGGGAGTTTCCTGGGGAATCTGAGCACCCATGGCGGAGAAGCCGTCTCTCAAGTCAGACGCGCCGAGTCGGGTAAGGTAAAGTCAGGACTCCCAAGACTGCTGGGAAGGAAGGAGGAAATAGGTCAGTTGGCCCGAGCCCGTTCCCTGACCCCCGGGCTGTGGAAAAGCGAAGGCAAGGTTTCCTCACCCACGCCCGCCTGGGGCTCGGGAGCTCCCGACCTGACTGGGAAGCACGGCGCCTTTCCCCAGCTACAGCGTGCGTCACGGGCGGGGCGGCTCGGCCCCGCCCACTTTCTCCTCCCTTCCAAAGCGTCGGCGCTAGGACCCCACCATCCACAACCCCGCCCCGCCTCGGCCCCTCAGGCCGGTCCTGGCCCGCGATTGGCCCTCACCCGCCACGATCCCCGCCTCCGCGCCCTCCGTCACTGCCAAGATGGCGCCCCTCTCCGCCGCGGCTGCCGCGGCAGCAGCAGCCAGAGCAGGAGGCGGAGGCAGCGGCGGCCGCAAGGGGAGGGGGAGTCCCGTCTGACTGAGCCGGCGGGCCTGGGCGGGCGGGGGTGCCGCGCAGGGCGGAGCGCCGGGCTGGGGATGAGCTAAGCGGGCTCCGATCGCCGCGGTGTTCAGCCCCTCGTGTCCCGCCGCCGCGCGCGCGGGGGACCCGGCGCCAGCCTCGGAGCTCGACCCGCTGCCCGCGCTGGGGCCGGCGGCGAGGTGAGTGCGGGGGCGGCGACGCGGACGGCGGCGGCGTGCGGAGCTGTCACGGCCCGCAGCGCTGACAGCGGGGGGCGCGGGCCCGGGCGGCGGGCGGCGGGGGGCGGCGGGGGGCGGCGGGGGCGGCTGCGACCTCCGCCCGGGGAGCTCTCGGAGCCCGGCCGCCCTCGGCAGGCGCGGCGGGGCAGAGCGGCCCCGCGCCCCGGCGTCGGACGCGTGGGGGTTCCAGTGTATTTTCATTCTGGGTTTCTATTCCGGGCGAGCCTGGGGTTCTTGTTATTGGGAAGTGGGGGGCGGGGGGGCGGGAGGGGAGGTCCCGGGCCGGGGTTTTGACCAGCCGGTTACGTAAGGCGGAGGTGGCCGCCCGGAATCCCACCTGCTCGGGGTCCCCACCGCGGGCTGCGGGCGCCGGCCCGGCCCCCCCGAGGCCCGCTCTGCACCCCGAGTCTGCCGTCCTGCTCCGGCCGCATGTGCGGGGTCAGCCTCCAAGTTACCCAGTGTTTTTTTTTGTTTTTACCCCCAGTCTTTTTTTTTGGGGGGGAGGGGAGAGTGGGGTGAACGGTTCTTGGTGGCCATCATTCCCTTTGAAGTTTATCGCCTTCCGTGGGGTTGGGGGGAAAAAAGACAAAAACCTTTTGACCTAAAACTGGGTCGCAGCGACAGCTTTTCATTATCGTGCTTTTTAAATGACAGATGTGCTGGAAGATTTTTGTTATTGTTCCAGTGTGCTTTTCATCCAAACGTATGGTTGCGCTTGGAGCCTTAGAGAAGGGTTTGTATTATAGGACAGTTATTTCTTGTTTGCAACAGCAGGACAAGCATCAGTCAACAGGCATGTATTTATTTTAGGAGAAATCGCGTGTCAGCCAGCTAGAGACCCGTGAGGGCAGAAATTGTTATTCCGTGAATATGTTATTCTTGAAAATGTATTGATTATACGTTCATGAAAATAATAGCCCAAGTGTAAAACAAGCATTCTTACGAGACTGCACGATGTTGTTTGGTGTATATATAGTCTTTTCTATTTTTTGTTTGCCCTGGTCTACCTCTTCTCTTGGGGAAAGGAGGCGGAGACACCTGTAAACAGCGTAGCCCAGGTTACACTAATCTAATGTAGTACATTTGAGATTATTGTCAAAAGTAGTCACTGGGGAATCTAAGCTTGGGTAATAAGTAAGGACTCTGGGCAAGTTACTCAGTTTATGTTTAGAGTAGGTAGTTCTGGGATCCAGCTTTTGAGAACTGAAGTATACAGAATTTCTCAGCTATTTGAACCCTGTTTGAACTTATAATGAAACAAAAGATTTTATTTGGCTTCTTTTATGGGAACTTTTTGTTTTCTTTTGGCCAGAATTGAACATTTTGGACAACTTTTACTTCATTTTCACAATTTCCCACTGAGCCAAAGCTCTCAGGCAGAGTTCAGAATAACAAACATACATCATCGTCGTCGTCATATATCCTACATGTTACATAATTTTCTTTGAATAATTAAATATAGACCTGCTTTATTGTGGAATTTCATAAAAATGTTCCTGTTAGGGATGTTAACTGATCTTGACACCAGCCCACTGTTGGGAATAAATATGAGTATATTTTGGTCCGTGTTTTTAAGTTTATGTACACAAATTTACATCTTTGAAAATCGGTGAAGTGATGTGAATTTTATTTTCCTAGAGAGGCAGAAACTGGTGCTGATTGGTACTGAACTTTTCCACAGGAATTACGACTGATTTAAATAGTGATTTGAAAGTTCTGGAGCTGTCAGCCTGTTTATGGCAATTTCAATAATAGGAATATTTGGGAGGCTATGAGAAGAGATGGCACATGACATTTTTTTCTCCCTCCTTTCCTCATGTGACATTTATTAATTGGTTCAAAAATAGTAGAAATCATGGCAGAGTTATAAAAGAACACTTGATGTTTTCTCATTGAGTGACGTTGGTTACATTATCTTTTTTGGTTTGCAGACTTTTTCTAAACTGTCCACTTAGTAGGAAAACTTGAATTTAAGCATCAATACAGATACAGATGTTTGGTATATGTTTGGTATATTATATATATTGTGTTTTTCCTGTTTTAATTGATGCCTCATTCTAGGAGGAAAACAAAAGTGACTCCAGTAGGAACGTTGACTTGTCATTTTTGTCTTCTCTGATGTCAGAGACTTATGTTTGTGGGAACTTCCTCTTTCCTACCAGTTGTGGAAAGAAGAGAGTGACTAAAGAAAAGGAGATAAAAATTTCTTCTTTTCTTGATTGTTTTTCTAATATCCTATATTATTGTTTATTGCTCCGTAGAATTTGGGGTCTGGGGAGAAGTCACGTATATGGAGAAAATCAAGCATTCTATACTATATATGGAGGAAATCACTCCATACTATATATGGAGTGATAACGTGTCAGGAGTTACCACTTTGAAATCTAAAACAGTAATGTAGAACTGTATACATAGAAAATTATTAATGTATATGTTATTAATAGTGAAAAATTTATTAACAGTCAGAATGCTACTTAATAGAGAAATATTAAAATTAATGATAATCCACTTGATAGATGCAGTTAAGTCATATATTCAAAAATATTTAGTGATATGAGGAAGTATTATATAGCATTGAGAAAAGAATCAGAATATAAGGCAATATATACAGTGTTATTATTTATAACATTCCATGTGTGTATTCCGAAATGATTGGTAATATATAACCTTAAAATGATTGGAAATATATAACCTTAAAAGATGTTACCCGGTTTATAGGATTATAGGTAATTTTTATTTTAATACAACTTTTATTTATTTTATTATTTTTTTCTACTGAATGGTATCCTAATAACCACAACGTGCCATTAAGATATTTTCAAAGGTCGTAGGAGAAAATCCCACATAACTACCGCAAAACTGTGAGTATTAGCAAAACTAATTCGAAATATGTGCTCATGCAATACACAGTAATGGAAACATCTAATAACTTAGGCAAAGGCAGTCTCCCAGTTACCAGCACTACCCTGGTACTAGGTTTACAAATGTGGATGCTCTTATTAATGCTTATGACTGCTTTCCAACCTCTTGTTTGCGGCTTACACCCAGACTGTTCTATATTGACAGCGCCATCTGTTGATGGATTATTCCATTCAGTCTTTTCCTCATTACCTCAGCTGTCCATAGGTATCCATGTTTGAATGTTTATTAGGTACCAGGTACTTTACTAGTCATTGAGGACACAAAGGTGAATAAAATATTATTTCTGACCTCAAACTCCGTTTCTTTTCTCTTTGGGTCATCAGAGCATATAGAGTGCTCCGCTTTTCCTGTTTCACTGTTCATGGCCTGGCTACTTAGGCAGTGTCCTTCTCCTGGTGCTAAAATACTCTTTTAAGTATCTAAGTGGAAAAAGTAAGTTCTGAGTTCCAGACAAGTAATTTGCAAATAAATTTTTGGAATTTTACTTGACTGTATGTTGGGGGCTCATATTCAGAAGAGCTACATACATGTTCTGTGACTGTCACTGTTATTTTTAGTGTGTGACATTTTAAAAGTCCTGGTACCTTTTCTTGCTTCTTTCTTTTAAAAATCTCAAAGAAGGGCCTCCCTGGTGGCATAGTTGGTAGAGGACCACTCTGTGAAGCTGTCCACAGCCTCTGCAGCGCTAGTTCAATTCCTGTCTGACCAGGGAGAGACCCATATGGCACGGCAGACCTCTTCTGTCTCTCCCACTGTTCCCCTCAGCAGTGCTTTCAGTCCTTCTGCCTGTTCTGCACCCCGCTCTGTCTCTGGTGAATCCTCTTACCCTCTGGCGCCTCTGGCCTGTACCCCAGCTCTTGTATAAATAAATAAATCTTTAAACAAAATAAATAAAAATCTCAAACAAGTAGAAAGCAACATAGAGTAAAGACAAACTGTCAAGAGAAAGGAGATAGAAAGATATCAAGGGAGTTTTCCTGCTAGTACAGTACTTTATTTTTGCTGAGAGTAGTGAGTCATCAAAATGTAAGATACACTGTTTCTGGCATACTGTTAATATATCTGTGATCTATGTAAAAATGTATTTCCCATATGCAAACATAAGTGCACATAGTTTAGCTATTTTCATTTCAAATAAAAGCTAAAATATGGAGATCAGAAATTTCTTAAATGTCTTATTTTTGTGTAATATTATTTTATAGATGAGACATCTTTATTTTTGAAAAATTTCAAAAATACAGAAAAATTTAAAAAGTAGTGAACATACACATACACACCATACAAAATGTTAACATTTTTCATTTTTACTTTAGATATATGTTTAATGTCAAAGAACTATGTATATAGTAGTATCAGCTGAACTCTAAAAGAGCAGTGCAGAACTTTATTCTTTACTTGAACATTGCTAATGAAGTTAAATTTCTTTTTGTTTTCCCCAATTTCATTCTCCTTTCATCTCTTATCCCCTCCCAGAGGCAGTTATGATAAATTTGATGTGTATTGTTCCAGCTTACCTTTTAATAAACTATATGTATGAAAAATACATGCATTGCTTTGGATATTTCAG